CACTCAAGTCATTTGCACAGCATATTAAAGATTTTCCCAAGAAAATATGAGCCTACTTTACAGTTACTGAAAAAATGGAATTAAAAGATAAGTTTATTTTGGCACAAAATATTTTTTAAATCCATGCATAGGTTTTTCACGATGTATTTTCCCTGGGGTTTGTGGAGACCCCTGGTATGTCATCCCTTCTCAAGCACACATGGTCTAGTAACTGCTTAGGAACTGTTTTTTTTTATTGCTAAAATTTCTGGACTTCAGCTTCACAGTCTAAGAGGCTGCCTTAAAGGATATTTCTAAGAACTAAATTTCCTTTTTCTTTTAAAGATTTATTTTATTTGAAAGGCAGAGAGAGAGTGCTAACACATGTGAGAGAGATCATAAACCCACTGCTTCACGCCTCACATGGCTGGAATGGGCAGAGATTGGCTAGATGGAAAGTAGAAGCCAGGAGCTTCTTCCAAGTCTTCCACTTGGGTGCAGGGGTCCAGGCACGTGGGCCATTTGCCCCCAACTTTCCCAGGTGCATAAACAGAGAGCTAAAATAGAAGTGGAGCATCTGGGATGCTAATCAGTGTTCGTGCGGAATACTGGTAGCGTAGTCAGTGGTTCTGCCCACTATGCCAATTGGCATTGGCCAACCTCCAAAAGCATCTCTTTTCCTAGTGACAAAGAATAGTAGCTATAAAGACTTTTAGGGCAACTGTTACCAATTTATTAAAAATATGTAACAAAAGGCAAATAATCCTTTAAATCAAGTGTAATTCTTTATTTGAGCTTTCCTGTAGTTAAATATATTAATGCCCAAAAGGAACCAGTGTCTCTCAAAGTGCTGAATTAGAATTTTTATTGTGTAATCTTCGTGAATGGAAAATTGAGGCTTACTATATCAGCCAATGGGCATTCAGAAGGTGACATCATCCTTGGATCGGCGAAACTGACAGCATTCTAGAACTATCCAAACCACTTGGGCAGAACCCTCACAATATGTACACAGTGAGACTCTGGGTTGATATGAGGTGGCAGTTCCTTATCTGTGGGTTCTGGGATGTCTGGAAAGCCATGTGTGGCTTCCCCCTTGTCTCTCCCCTTCCCCCAGAAAAAAAACAAGAAATAGCAAAATTGCAAACAATGAGTTCACCCAGTTTTCCCTAAACCTCAATCCTTCCCACCCAGATCAATCATGTGATCATTATAAAAAATAAAATTAATAAAGATATGAAAGAAGGAATTTGGATTTTATAATATAAATGGACCACCCCAAGCTCCCTGGTTCCACTTTATATGCAGCAATCTAACAGAGGAGAAACCAGGAGAATGAATGAGGTACTTCCCCAAGATACATGGCTGCTCAAAGACAGAGGTGGGAGAGCCGACTTCACTCTGTTTTGCTTGCAAGGGCAAGCATCCAAGCCTATTATAATTAAGGAAACATTTACACACAACTAAGAAAATAGTTCTGAAATTTGCATCAAGGTAGCCTTTCTATAAATACACTTTAATTAATGTGAAAAAAAATCATGAAGACATCATTGTAAAAACCAAAGAAAATATCACTGGTATTTTCTGAATTTAAAGAGACAATAGAAATCAATTTGACTGTTTCTAAATAACTTTAAAAGTATTTATTTACTTGAAAGGATGTTACAGAGTGTTTGGAGGTGGGGGACACAGAAAGAAAAGAAGAGAGAGAGAGAGAGAGAGAGACAGAGAGAGACGCTTCCACCAGCTGGTTCACTCCTCAAATGGCTCTAACAGCTGGGACTGGGCCAGGCCAAAGCCAGGAGCTTCTTCTGGGTCTCTGACATGGGTAAAAGGACTCCAACCCTGCTGCTCTCCCAGGTGCACTGGCAGGGCACTGGACTGAAAATGAAATAACTAGGACTCAAACTGGTCCTCATATGTGGGCGCCGGTGCTGTAGGCAGTAGCTTAAACCTGATAGGAAACTGTGCCACCCACCCCCTTCTTTAAAAAAGTTCTAAAATAAGTAAGTGAGCAAACCAACACACTGAAAGGTTGGACAACTGGTGATTTATCCAATCACCAAATGCAAGAATTCTTTCTAGAACATTCTGACAACTGGCCAATGAATGTTTTCAGGGAAAAAGAGCATTTTAAAAGAGTATGGGCCATTTCCACTGACAAATGGCTTAATTACAAAGATACCTGCTAATGGTTTGAATGTGTTCCCAAAATTCACATTTTGGAGACTTCACCTGCAGGGCAACAATGTTGGGGGTTGTGGCCCAAGAGTGAGTGTTCAAGTCATGCGTGGATTAATGCAAATCATACACAGGCTAGAGGCCTGCGTGGCCAGGTGGTATTCCCTTCCACCATGCTATGGGCAGCAGAAGGCCTTCACCAGATGTGGCTCCTTAACGCTGACCTTCTCAGACACCAGGAGCACGAGCCAAATTAATTCTAAGTTATTACAAATCACCCCTTTGTAATTGTGTTAGGCAGCAACACAAGGAACCTAAATCTCTGTGGATTGTTGTTCATTAGAACCAGTTCTGCCCTCTGGAACAATACTGAACTAGTCCCCCTTTTAATATTTCATGCTCAGTATTTGAGATATCTGAAGCCACGAAAGTCTGTGACCTTCAACAGTCTTGATTAACAGGAGTATTGAGCGTTAGACTTTAGCCTCACTAAAACAGGGGTTTACCAAGTCCTCGGGACTTGGGCTGGGTGCATGGAGTTCAGAGAGAAAGGGGTATGCTGGAAGAGCATGGTGATCGGGCAGGGGAGGGCACCCACGAGAGCAGCAGAGGCTAAAACAGGATCTGGTCCCACAACAGTTACAAACAAGATCATACAACAAGGAAGAAGGGTGAAAGATACAGGAAGTACAACACAGGACACAATTTGGACCCCGATGTCTAAGTTCTATGTAAATTGTTAAATGATGTTTCATTCCAATGGGACCTAATGCGATGGCTTTTGGTACCTATATAGAAAAGGATAATGACATATTGAAAATATCACAATATGCACACAAATTCAGAAATACTACCAGTGTTTATATTTGCTAAATGAGATAAATTATTCAGAAACAGATCCAAAAATGATTTACACTACATAAATTCATAAACAGACTGATTTTCTTGATTTCTATTGTGAAGTATAAAATACTGCGTTAGCAAGAAATTATTTGATACAGCAAAAACAAAACAAAAACAAAAACAAAAAAACAGGCTTCTTACTAAATAATCTACTATTTTTTCCATTAAAATTCAGATAATTGAAACATGAACACTCAGGATTCCAAAATCATCGTCAGCACAACTCACCAGTGGGTGTTGATGGAGTTTGGGTTAAACAATATTTGATGTGAAGTACTTCACCATTCTTGGGCGTTAGAGCTAAATGTTATCAAAGCTATCATCTTTGGTGCAGGTCTTTGGCCTGGTGGTTAAGACCCTGGAACCAAGCGCTTGGCATTGGTCCTGGCTCCAGCTTCTGGCCAAGGCAGACCTCAGGAAGCAGTAACAGTACAACGGCTCAAGTAACAGTGCCCACCTGGGAGACCTGGGTTGTGCTCTTGGCTCTCAGCGTTAGGAACCCTTCCTTCCTGCCTCCCTTCATCCCTTCAAAACACTGCGAGCATCTGGGGCCTGAACCCACGCGAGCGATATTCATATTCTCTTCCTCCTAAACTCAATAGAAAAAAACCTATTGTCTATCTACTATTTTAAATCACTACATACCTACAGCACCTTGAGTGAGATCCAAAGTGCATTTCAACATTCTCAGTGTACTTTCCTTGAGAATTATTTAGCTATTTGAAATGCAGAATGACAAAGTAAAAATAAGAGGGTGAGAGAGATGTCCCATCAGGTGGTTCACTCCCCAAATAACAAGAGAGCCAGAGACAGGCCAGGCTAAAACCGGAAGCCAGGAACTCCATCCAGGTTTCCCACATGGGTTTCAGAGACTCAAGGTCTTGGGCCATCATCTGTTACTGTCCTAGGTGCGTTAGCAAGCAGCTGGGACTTGAAACAGCACTCTGATATGGTATGCCATTTGTAAGCAATGGCTTATCCTGTTGTGCTACAATGCCAGCCCCTGTGTGTATTTACAATAATACCTTTATTTATTGCTCCAGTTGCTGGTGAGAAAAACTAAGGCATTGCTCAGCACTGTGGTACTTCTTTACAACACACTCATTCTTGATTTGCATATATTGGATTTAAATGTTTAAGACGTTTGGTACCTTTAACAGTACTTTTTAAAACTTTTTTGAATGGCGGACAGACAGACACACACACACTCGCAAAGAGTGAGACACAGAGACATAACGCTCATCCATTGGTTCACTCCCCAAATGCCTTACAGGAGCCAAGGCGGGACCGGGAAAAGCGGGAGCTAAGAACCCAATCCAGGTCTCACACAGACGGCAAGGACTCAGTTACCTGAGCCATCCATCACCACTGCCTCCCAAGGATCTGTACGTATTAGCAGAAAGCTGGAGTCGGTAGAGAAAGGAATTTCAATATGGGACGGGGACTTCTTAACAGGCTGTTAACTATGAAGCAAAACGCCCATCACAATAGTAATTTGTATTTATACATGGTTCCCCAAACTGAGATCACTTCTAGAAACATGAAACTTCGATCATTTTCCATTTCTTGGTAATAAGAGGACATTGTTTATCCGCACGTGGTTTTCCACAGAGCACCACTGTCTCAAGCAGCACTTGCTGCTGGAGGTGATTAGGGCTAATGGAGACGGGAACCAGTCCAGAATCAGCTCAAGTTTTTCTAAATTATATGGCACCATCACAACAATAGGAAAGCCAACGTTTCGCTCGCATGCTTCAGATCAATAACAAGACTAGAATCGATGTCAGCTAAAACTGAATTCAGAAGCTACTGTCAAAGAAGAATGAGGCCAACACGGGGCTTCTGGAGGCACCGCGGCTGAAGGGGTTCAGGGTCCACATGGGAACAACAGCACATTCACCGCACTCTGTGTAACAGAAGCACTTGTCCATGCTTACCTCCTATATTCTGGATTATTATGGTACCTGCCACCACCACCTATTAAAGGACAAATACATTCAGAAAGTAAAATGGTATGTAATTGAAATCATCAGCACTTCATTTAGAGTCAATAACTAATAGTGACAAACAGGCAAAATTCATGAATGAAGACAAATGGGAAAACAATTTTTTTCCAGCTATTTGTTGCACATCAAATCAACAAACACCACATAAAAAGGTCTTTATTTAATAGTTTCACAGTTACCCTAAATATTTTGGCAATCATTTCTGGATAGTTAAAAGTGTTAACAGCTAGTAGCAGAAAGTTATCAAGCTATAAAATACTGAAACTGAGTCTACCTGGGGAGGCTCATTCTCCCTTTCTTACTGATTTTTACCATGCTATTCACAACTGAACTAGACAGCATGGGGTGTGCAGTGCCAGAATTACACAGCATAAAGACAAGTTATACAAGCCTTAGAGTGTTCTCTGTTGGCAAATACCAACCTCTTGGGCATCCCAGTTTGAGGAATTAGTCTAGAACCAAAAAAACCCTAGAACCCAAACACTGTCAGCTCTCTTAAAAATGTATGCAAACATAATAATAATGGAAAGTGAGTTGGGTATGAAACACTGAGGAGAGGCAGGGAACACAGTATATATGAGATTCGTTCCTCTTTAAAACAGAGCAATTGCTCAGCTGCAGACAATTATAGTGTATGAAAATGTGGGTTTAATGTAGTTCAGTCTTGATTTTTATAAAAAGATTTATTCCATTTTTATTGGATACTCAGACATATGGAGAGGAGGAGAGAAAGAAAGGGGCTAACTCTACCTGCTAACTCACTCCCCAAGTGGCTGCAACAGCCTGAGCTGAGCCAATCCAAAGCCAGGAGCCAGGAACTTCTTCTGGGTCTCCCATGCAGATGCAGGGTCCCAAGGCTTTGGGCCATCCTTACTGCCTTCCCAGGCCACAAGCTGGGAGTCAGAAGGGAAGCGGGGCCGCGGGGACAAGAACTGGCACCCATATGGGGTCTTGGCATGTGCAAAATGAGAACTTTAGCCACTAGGCTACCCATGCTGGGCCCAATCTTCTGATTTTTAAAGAAAGTTAGAAATGAGTTTTTTTCAAACTTTCATGACTCTTGGTTGGCAGCCAGTTTTTTTTTAAAAATCAAAGTTTTGAGCTAAACAAAATATGCTTTAGGGTTAAGTTCAATCTGCAGTACTGCTAGCTTAGAATGCTGTGTTTCCCGGGTAACTTCAGGTAGGATCATTGTCCATTCTTGACTGCCATAAGCCCTCAAGGGCAATGAGAAAAATACTGTGCTCCCACTTGGGTCTTTGAGTCTCTCCAATCTTGGGGGGGAGGGGGGTCAGAATCCCTGATGCATGTGTGGCCCTGACGAGCTAGCTGTCATCCGCTCTCCAAGCTTGGGAACAGCTCCCCCTTCAAATCCATCTCTGCCGGAAACGCCATCAGGACACAGCTCTTGCCTGCCAGTGGCACAGTGTTTGATTAGGGCTTGGAGGCCCTGAGACCCGTGGGGTTGCACCAGTGACAGGAAAAGTTGGCACAGTGTCATTGGTAATGTGGTTTCCATTTTGGTGTTCTCTAGAACTTTGCATTTCCACGTACTTCACAATTAGTTTCAGAATACGACAGACATTCGTGAAATCTTTTCCTTGAATTTCGGCACATGTTCTTCCAAACAAATGAAAAAGACCAAAATAAAAAAATCTGGATTTCTTTCAACTAACTTGTTATAAAAAGTAGTCATACCCTGCTGATGGCTATTTTTCCATTCTTTTGCTATGTTGATATCTAGAAAGGCAAAATGAATATCTATCTCTCACCTACCTTCACTACGGAACATGGCATACAATACATATGTGTCCAATAACTAAAGATACTGATTTAGAAACACCTGTCAAAATACTTTCCTAAAAAGTTCAAAACGTTTCAAAACTCTTTTCTGATTTTCAGAAAAAGACTACCCTCTCAGATTTCATATTCATATAACATTGTACCAAAACCACAGAAGCAGAAGGAAATATAAACGAGAAGTAAGGCAAGCCTCATTCAGAGTCCTCCCTGTCCAGTGTGCGCCCACCTACTAAGAAGTATGTCTACAAATTAAAATGACCGGCAGGCAATCTAGAGCTTTAGGAAAACAAAACTCATCAATCCTTATTCTTTTAAGTGGCTGCTACAAAAGGAATGCATGAAACACTAACTTGAAGTGACACTCATAATGTGGTACCAGTGATATTTAGAGACACATTTGTAATAAATTAATGGGGGTATTCCCTTATACAACTAACGTTTTTCCTTATTGGTTACACCAGATGCAGGGTAGAGCAAGTACTGTGGCGTGGAGGGTAGTGCTGCATAGGTGCCACCTTGGGTCGCACCTGGTCTACTTTCAGCCCAGCTCCCTGCTAATGACCTGGGAAAGCAGCTGAAGGCAGCCCATAGACTGGCCCCTGCCACCCACAGGGAGACCCAGATGAATTTCCTGGCCCAGTCCAAGCTGTTGGGGTCATTTGGGGAGTGAACCAGAGAATGGAAGAACTTTCTGTTTTCATCTCTTTCAGCAACTCCTTTTTTTTTTTTTAAAAAAGATTTATTTATTTTTTATTGGAAAGCCAGATTTACAGAGGACTTAGAAAGATCTTCTGTCTGCTGACTCACTCTCCCGGTGGCTGCAATGGGCTGAGCTGAGCCAATCCGAAGTTAGGAACCAATAGCTTCTTCCAGGTCACCCACGTGAGTGCAGGGTACCAAGGCCATCCTCTACTGCCTTCCCAGGTTACAAGCAGGGAGCTGGAAGGAAAGTGGGGCAGCCGGGATAAAAACCATTGTCCATATGGGATCCTTGCACATGCAAGGCGAGGACTTTAGCTACTAGGCTATAGTGCAAGACCCTACTGTAATTCTTTTACACAAACAAATAAGACAAAATTTAAAAAACTAGATGTAGGAAAATACCGATTACACCAAACATCCTGATTTCTAGGGAACAGGAATAGTTATCAAGGGTGATTAACAAAATCCTTGTTTTTCCAGTAATGAATTCCGTTTTGTTCAAGTTTCAGGTTATTTAGGTTTAGGCCATGAGACTATGTAGTATATGATCTAAATATTCTTTCATACTTTGTAAGAGAAAGTTAATGAGAATGTAAATACAGTTTTTCTGCCCCAGTAAATGGCTATATCTTTTTCCTCTTAGGTTCTTTTCTTGGAAAATTATGTTTAGTCATCTAAAACTATGATATCTTTTTAATAAAAAACAAAATAATAGTAAGCCTGTGTATGTGTATATACATATAAAATACATATATAAATTAGTTCAATTCAGTCATGAGGATGTGTATATCTTTCAAAACGTTATACATAACATATTTGTACATTTTTATTAATTTAAAACTAAATAATACAAAAAGCATTTAAAGACCTTTTTAGAAACAAAAAAAGAAAAATTCCTGCTTGGAGCCACAATTAACACGTGCTTTAGAAGTATGCCAGTGCAGGGCCCAGTACAGTGGCATAGCAGCTAAAGTCCTCGCCTTGAACGTGCCAGGATCCCATATGGGCACTGGTTCTAATCCCAGCCGCCCTGCTTCCCATCCAGCTCTCTGCTTGTGGCCTGGGAAAGCAGTCGAGGATGGCCCAAGGCCTTGGGACCCTGCACCCATGTGGGAGACCCGGAAGAAGTTCCTGGCTCCTGGCTTCGGATTGGTGCAGCACCACTTGGGGAGTGGATCATCGGATGGATGATCTTCCTCTGTCTCTCCTCCTCTCTGCATATCTGCCTTTCCAATAAAAATAAATAAATCTTAAAAAAAGAAAAAGGGGTGTGCCAGCACCTGAGAAAAAGCAAACCAACCAATACTACCACATTGGCAGTGACACTGAGCCCCTGAGTGCCTGTGGAAGGACGTGGTGCCTTCCTCACCTTCTGCGTCAGGACGCCTACCAAAAAGGAGCAACAGGTGATGTGATTTTTCCCGCTAAGTACAAAAAGGCAGATCGGAATGTGGTATTCTGGGACATGGAGCGGTATTTGTTGCAATTATTGATAAATGGGCCCCTTCATTGCTGTCGTCCTTAACTTCCTCATCTGTAAAAGTACGGCTAACTACATAATCTTTTAACACTGTTCAGCTCCCATAATTACAGCTTTTGTAAACAGCCATGCTATGATTTTAATTCTACGCAGAGAATACGATTAGTAAAGGAAAAAACTTAAAACAGGCCACTGGTGCTATTTCAGTCACTGCCTTCCTTCATTAAGATGGAATACACTACAGACTGGGGCTCTGAATTAACTTGATTGATGCGGTTTTGGGCAGAGCACACAGCAGATTCCTTCTCTCCTTCTGCTCCCACAACTGCCCTCCTGCTTCTTTTATTTAATTTTGTCTTGCTTTCATTTCTCTAATTCTTTCTCTTATTTACACTTTTCCCTACTAACTTTAAGACCAGAAAAAAAAAAAAGTGCCTCTTTGGGTTTTGGATAAAATGAGAACTGAAAGCAAAGTTACCTTTCCGGGTAATCCGAATGCGAAGAGTCCAAGGTCTTCGTAAGATGTTACAGCTATGGAAAGAAGTCGGAATGTTCATTGTTACAAAGCTGTTCGCATGTCAGTTCAGGGCAGGAACTCACTCCACTACTACAAATCATACACAATATAATCATTCTTACAATGCAGGCTCTTCGGGACTGGACACAAATGTAAGACAAGAAAATTCGGAACAGCAGCAATAGCAAGAAGAGAGGCTCAACTTAACCGCATATTTTCTATAAAGGCAGTTAACGACTTCATAAAAATCTTCAATTATCATGATAAAACATAATTCACAAGGCGTGTGATGTTCAGGTTAATGTCATGCTACTCAGTAGTGACAGTTTGCATTTTTAAGAATTAGCAAGCACCCCTCTTTCATTTCTCTGTCTAACGTTCTGAAAGATTTTGTTTCGGAACCTGCACATAATAACAATTATTTTCCATCTTTACTAAGCAAACATTTATGATCGGCATGAAGTGATCAATATCAGCACACAGAATTTGTTCATTTCGGTCTCCAACAAGCAGTCATCCATCAACCCATGGAACATTTCCCTGCATCTAATCTTAAATTAACACGTATAGGTTAATGCTGGGTAAGTCCGTGATTTCCACTGAGTATTCTGAAAATAGCTCAGACACTTCCGATATTCATTAGGTAATGTGTTTGTAGTTCAGATCCGCATAATTTATAAGCTTTATAAGCTTACAAGCAGGACTTAACCATTCTTGGGGGGAAAACTTGAAAATGTATAGTCTATGAGGAAGAACAGCAACCGAGAGGCAGAATGTAGCAAATTTCAAGGTTGTCTAAGAACCATCCGGGCTGAAATCATTCAAACAGAACCATTATTTGATAAGATCCTACTTCTCCTGATGCAACACTCACAAACTGCCAAAATGGAAGTTTGCACTGGCCACAGCTTCTGTGTCCCAGAGATGCAAACTGATAAAAGATCATCCTTCGTCATCCAGGAGGGCTCGCACGAGAACGGCTTGATGGAAGTGACATGCACTTGTTTTAATCAATTATGTTCCTATTTCACATGTTCCAGGAGTGTAGTCATAAAAACTATAAAAACTGAACGGCTCGTCAAAGAAGCAAAGTGGCCCTCGCGCACACAGCATCAGATTTCAAGCAGCGGCTCAGCTATTTGTAGGATCCTGCTGTCTGAAGGTGCACAAGTTTACGGTATTGACACTGAAGAAAAGCAAACTTGCAGCTACCAAGGCTTGGAACAGCAAGGTGCACATCCTGTTAAGTCAAACGACTCATCATTTCTTCTTTTGTAAGAAAGCTTTATCTTATTTATTTGATAGGCAGAGTTACAGAAAACCAGTAAACTTCCGGTTTACTCCCCAAATGATCATCATGGTCAGGGCCGGGCCATGCCACAGCCAAGAGTCCAGAGCTTTTGCCGGGTCACCTATGTGAATGCACGGGCCCAAACCCTTCTTCCATTGCTTTCTCAGGATGTTAGCAGGGAGGTGGATCACAGGCAGAGCAGCTGGGACTTGAACTAGCGCCTCTCTGGGATGCTGGTATTGCAAGAGGTGGCTTAACATGCTATGCCATCACATCGTCCCCGCTCAGCAGTTCTTAGAGCTAGTTTCAAAATATCCTCCTCGCAAGACACACATGGGTTTTCTTTCAATCACTCTATTGACAAAAGAATCCTTTGTAATTGCATAACTAAAGACCCCTAGATATTTAAAGCTAAGCGAATCCCAAAAGAACAAATATCATGTTCCGTCTAACACAAGGCAACCTTCAGGGACAAGATCTATGTACCGTGTGTGTACACAGGTATGTACACATACTCGCCTAGGGGAGCTGTATACTGGGGACTAGCACGCCGAGAGATGAAGACACACTGCAGCAAGCATCTCCACTCCCCGGAAAAACAGACTCCAATGAAACACTGACAACAGATTGCTGGACTCCACCGTTACCTACAACATCAGGATACACTGAAATATCAGAATGATGGGCTTGTGACTGCTGCTGAAGGACCATACTATTGTAATAACACAAGGGAAACAAACCAGTGAGTGAAGAGGGTGGGGAATGCGGAGGGGGAGGGGAAATTCCTGAGCCTGAGACCGTATGGAACTGTATCATAAAACAAAAAAATTGAAAACAAAATAAAATTAAATAAAACTGAGCAATTAAAACACCCCCTATGTAGCCTTTGAATGAATGATGGGGTACAGAAAACTGAGGAACTTCACATAAATAATAACCTATCATTTGAGTTGATAAAACCTTTCTAATCTTCTGGATGTTATATGTTTTTTTTTAATGTACTATCACAGTACATTTTAATGGTGCTATCACAGTGTACAGGGCAATTCCCTCCTTTATTTCCTAATAATTTGACTATAAAATTTTATTTTTTTTGAAGATTTTTTAAAAAAAATTTTTATTGGAAAGGCAGATATACAGAGAGGAGGAGAGACAGAGAGGAAGATCTTCCGTCCGACGAGTCACTCCCCAAGCAGCTGCAACAGCCAGAGCTGAGCCAATCCAAAGCCAGGAGCCAGGAGCTTTTCCGGGTCTCCCACTTGGATGCAGGATCCCAAGGCCTTGGGCCATCCTCGACTGCTTCCTCAGGCCACAAGCAGGGATCTGGATAGGAAGTGGGGCTGCTGGGATTAGAACTGGCGCCCATATGGGATTTCAGCGTGTTCAAGGCCAGGACTTTAGCTGCTGAGGCTACTGTGCTGGGCCCAAATATTAATTTCTTTTATATATATACATATATATACCATATATATATATATATACACCATTGTATGACACAGTTTCATAGGCTCTGGGGAGTTTGATATTCTTAAACATAGGAGCCCAATTCCTTATAGGTAACATCAGATCTTGGTGTACGTACTAGAACAGCAAAGGACTAACGATCAGCTTCTGTTTAACGCTGAGAACATAATTTTGGGATGCATTCCATTACACAAACAGAAACCCAGGAAGATTGAAAGCATGTCATTTTGAGACTTCAGATTTAAGAAACATCATTATTCATTTTCAGCATCCCTTCTTGGAATTGAAAGCCATGAAGGTGGTCTTTTTTTTTTTTTTAACAGAATTCTCAAGGTCATGAATCCAATACCAACTTTTCAAAGGACCTATTTTGCATTAGTTTTTCAGTTAGTGACCAAGTTATCAAGTTCATATTGACCAAGGGGCTGGAATTGTGGTTCAGTGGGTTAAACGGCTGCCACCAACACCAGCACTCCGTATGGGCAATAGCTCAAGTCCTGGCTCATCAACTTCTGATCCGTCCACCTGCTAACACGCCCCGGAAAGCACGGGAGATGGCCCGAAGCCCCCAGGCTCCTGCTCTCCCGGGGGCACCGCACACAATTCTAGGATTCTGGTTTTGGCCTAGCCCAGCTCCAGCCATGAGGGCCATTTGGACAATGGACTTGCAGATGGAATTGCCCTTTCTCTGCAACTCTACTTTCATATAAATAAATAAATCTTTATAAAAATACTCATCAAAAAGTACAGATCGGTGTTTTAATTCTAAACATCAGAAAACAAGCCTATTTAGTAAATTTAGTAAACATGAAAGAGCAGGTAGCTTTCCTATGAACAACACTCATTACACTACAAGATTCTAAAATAAATTGCTACTTAAACAAATTGAACCTTTCTTATTCACCTTAGAAACTAAAAAACAACTTTTACTACTCTAGGAAATACAATCAGATTAAAAGTTTAAAACAGTTTTAACGACAGCTTATGACAATAATAGCAAACATTTTTTAGCAATCTTCAACTTTGTATTGAGACTTTTATTTTTCAGTTCCATACAAACATGATGAAATTTAGCCATTTTTTTCCCCCAATTTGAGAGTGGAGAAAAAGCCTTAGACTTTCAAATGGAGGCTGAAGGCAGAGCTGCAGTCCTAATTCTAGCTTTCCAGTCAGCACATCTGGCTAGTCATTCAGTCCTCTCACTGTCGTCAAACTTCTTTTATGTTGCAAAAATTAGAAGCACTTTTCCAGCCTGAGACATCATGAATATGAATAACGGCTCCGGCTTAACGTTGAGGCTTTACTAAAATAAAATGTGTACACAGCCAGCCAAGCGCTTTATTCCTACATGCTCATTTTTTCATGGTTTTTCTGGACCATCTCAACATACTAATCAAAACAACACTGGCAAAATACTGCTAGCGTTTTCTTCTTCTGTCATTTGGGCAACTTCTTTTAAAACTCATAATAGTGTAAGTCAGTACTGACTACAGGAATGCAATTTGGACATTGAACACTTAAAAATATCCAACACATTTTATCCCTGGGAACTTTCACCTTAGGATACTGAAATCAGAGACATCATTACATTCAAAACACTTATCCTGGCGTTATTTACCCCAGAGAAGCAAAGTCAACTTAAATCCCTGACAGCAGAAAAGTGGTTAAGTAAATTATGGAAGGCATATCTGATGAATTAGCACAGCCACTCAATGTTATGTTCACGGTAACATGAAAAATGCCAATGCCATGTTTAAGTGGAAAACGAAGGGTCTGAACACATCTAGAAAGCAAACCACAAAAAGAACAGAATGAATCATCTATGCATGGTAGCAGTGACTGTTCAGTCTTTGCGTGTGTGTGTGTGTGTGTGTGTGTGACTATTTGTCAAGACTTTAATGAGGATGCTGACACTATATTTATAAATTAAACACACACACACTACTGGTGGCAGGTGCTTCAGCCAGTGATTAAGACGCTCTCATCTCACATCCGAACACTGGGGTCTGACTGCTGGCTTCAGATCGCAATTCCAGCTTCCTGCAGATACGCACCTTGGGAAGGAGCAGGTGATGGCTCCAATGGCTGAAGCCCTGCCACTCCCATGGGAGCCTGAGTTCCTGGCTCTCAGCTTCAGCCTGGCCCAGTCCTGCAGGCAGCTGTGGGGTGAACCAGCACAAGAGAATCCTCTGCCTTTTTGTCTCTCTCCCTGCCCTACCAAAGGGAAACAGACAACTAGAAACCCATAGCACTAGTTCC